GGGAATCATGACAACTTAGGACGACTTCGGACTATGTGCGTTCTACATAGTCTCCATGAGCTTAAGACCAAGTTGCGACAACGAGGTCAACCCACTTCTATGAATCGAAAGGAGACTGTGACCATAACAGAGGCCACAACATCTTGTTCTTCATATCTTCAATATTGTTACCATTTACAAAATGCAGCAGCCTATCTAATTTAAGGGCGAGTACACAAAATGAAGTCTCTGTTTTCTTGAAGCCATACTCGTAGTTTAACATGGGGAACAATGTATTTATATATTAAGTGCATTCACTCTATTTCCTTAAAGGTGACTTTCAATACAAATACAAATTCGCTTCATCGACAATCCCACCATAGGATGTGATATGGGAAAATGTCTAGTCTTCCTCTAAATTCATATTTGTTCTCTGAGCCAAGAGCACTCGTGGCAATGTTGCGTAGTTGTTAATCTGTCGAGATTATACGATGCACTGCCATGGTTCGAATCCCGCTAGGGGTTTTGATAAGACCTATGCGAGGTAGAAACTGTAGTCCACTCTTGGTCTTCATATATTCAACTTTACTTCCCTATGCGACCTAGGATGACTAGAACTCATGCTTATACTTAACTGATAGTCTCAAACTCCACATACTATGAATATATCAACGATGCATTGTTAAAAAATAACAGGGCATTACTGTCCCAGTTTCAGGTCGACAGCACCGTAAGACTAATCCTTAAGGTAAATGGAAGTTCTTATCTGAACTCAATTGGTTGCAAACAGCAGAGATCAGACTGGCTTGATCTCATCGGACAGTTTGGCCTGGTCATCTGACCAGTTTCAACTGCCATGATCCTAGCCCCACGTCCAGGGGGATTCAAATCCGGGGTGAATGAGGAAAAATGAAAACCGCCACACTTAAAGCCTTTAGATTTAACATAAACAGTTGTGAAAAATTCGGCCACTTGAGCCCACAAAACAATGCAACTGCAAGGCAGCATAACTTGTGCTCTTTCACTTACCCTTCGCTACAGATGTGGACGTATTTTGTGTTAAAAGCTTATAAAATAATAGAAACTAAATGGGCACTACTCTCAAGCCTTCCTCTTAATTATGATAAAATGAGGAGTTAAATGCCG